AGCATAAGGAGGAGGGTCCTGGCTCCTCAGCAGGGAAGTGAGGAGGGGTTGCTGTGAAGGAGCTGGACTGACTTCCTCAGGATCTCTCCGACTCAGCATCACCAGCTATAAAGAGCTACTTCCATGCTCTGGGCTGAACGGGGAGTGGGTCAAGGTGGAATTCTGTGCAGACTGCCTGAGAGCCACAGCATTCCCGATACAGCTTGGGCTCCCTGCACACCAGCTACTGCTGCTATGGTGTGGGCATAGGTGCAGGCTCCTGCTGGGGTGCTAGCACATCTCACGGTGGAGGATGGGAAAGGGGGAGGTAAGTGGAGCACTCCAGAAGCCAATTTGGACGGGGCACCAGAGTAGGGGCCCCAGGGAGCCCATGCTGGGGTTGGGGAGAGATTCTGCAGGTGTTCACATGGATACTGCAGCCGCAACTGAACCACAGCTACAGCTGCTGGAGCATAGGGAGCTCGAGCCACGTCCGGTAACACTGCCACTGCTGAGGTCAGATTATTGAGGCACTATTGGAGCCTCCAGGTTGGCAGGGGACAGCCAGAAGGGTCAGGCAAGGAGCAAGTGCAAGGTGGGTGAATGCACCTGCTGCTGCCACTGTCCCCAGCTGACCCAGGGCTCTTCCTGCCCCGCTCCAGCCAGGGACCTTGGGGGAGCAGCTGGCAGAGTGCTGGACTCATTTGGGACACTGGAAACAGCAGACAAGTTCCTTCTCCCTGTCCCCACTCCCAGCTGTCAGGGGACCCAGGGACATGGGGGACTGGCACCCCCATGCAGCTGGAACCCCAGGACTAGTGGAGGACACTAAGGGGCCATGCAGGGACCAGAATCAGGAAGGAGGGGCCCCCCTGCTATAATTTCCCTGCTGGCCTGGGTGCAAGAAAGCCTCAGAGTCGCTCCCACCCTGCCCCAGCCGTAGACTGTAGGGAGTCTGCATGCGTGGGCTCAGCTGGGGACAGCAGTAATGGCAGTAGCAGCCCCCATTTTCCTGCCGCCATTGCCCCCGGCTGGATCAAAGGCTTCAGCCATGCAATACATTTTCCCATGGTCTGAAGGGCAATGTCAGTGACATCTGCTACAAAATCCTGAATCCACCCATGCCTTCTTCATATCTATTGTTTAAAAAGTTCTCCTTTTTCCCCCATAATGCCTTAAAAAACAGAAGACTACGGATGCACTGAGCCCACTGTCTATTACACTGACCAATGTGGCCCTGAAGCCTCCCATCAATTAGTACAAAGCATAGTGTCTTGTTATATGTTTTGACTGCAGGCTCTTTGGGGCAAGGACCATCTTTGTGCCTGTATAGCTCCGGACACAGTAGGATCTTGATCCACAGCTGGGAGTTTTAAATACTACAGCAACATCAAGAATAAAAAAAAAAAATTCTGCTCAAGGATCAAGACGAGTTCATAAGCATTTAGCTCCTGGGACCGGCGGCAACACCAATCTTCCTGGCACTGGGTGCGGGCTGCACCCAGCGCTGGTCCCAGGCAGCAGGAGCAGCCTCCTGTGATCTGGCAGGCAGATCGGGAGTCTGCAGCCCCGGGAGGGGTCTGGCAGAGCCCCACAGCCCTCCCAGGGATGCAGGCAGGTCCCCAATCTGCCTGCTGGATGACAGTAGGCTGCTGCTGCTGGCTGAGACCAGCACTGGGCGCAGCTTGCACCCAGCACTGGGAAGACTGGTGCTGCCGCTGGCTCCAGCCAGCGGCAACAGCATGCTATTATCCAGTGCACAGATCTGGGGGCCCACATCCCCAGGAGGGCTGCGGGATGTGCCAGAATCCTCCTGGGGGGTGCAGCCCCCGGATCTGCACACTGGATGACAGGAGGCTGCTCCTGCTGATTGGGACCGGCGCTGAAGCCAAGTAAGCCTGGCTTCAAAACTCGAAACGTTTTGAGTGCCCTTGTTTCGTTTCAAAGACTTTTGTTTCACTTTGATTTCACTGTTTCAAGCTCAAAACACATCAAAACAGCTCCGAAATGAAACACCCAGTGAAATTTTGCACAGCCCTACCCACCATCATGGATACTTGACCTAGTTGGGGACACCTTGACACTATTAAAAAAACATACTGGAGCACATTTGGAGTGATGATATATCTCAATCTTAATATATGCGTGCAATAAGGCATCTGCATGGTAAATGTAGGTGTGTGATTACATATAATTCTGAAGTACTCTTTTGTAAGCATGGCCCTACAAAAGTCAAGGAATTAGACTGCTTTAAGATGCGCAGAGTATTTGCTGTTGCTCCTTATGAAGGAGAACATAGATGATTTCAACATGTTTAAAAGTTGTACTTATTAATTTATTCTTAAATTTATACTTATGTTCCATCTCGAGGGGACTAGGTAAGTACAAGAGAGCCTGAAGAACAGGGATGTAGAAGATTTGTTGATTCAGGAAAATGTAGAGGGCAAAATAAATGCGCACCAGTCCAAAGTCAAACCAGTGACACCATTCTGTGAGGAAGAGCCTGGGCCTTGCAATATCTAAAGGCACTAGCCAGTGAAACTCTAGCACCCCTTCCAGTACTCATTTAATCTACAGGCCAATTAAGAAGAAGGATTCTCGGAAGGTATGTCTAGGATCCCTCAACTGGCATGGGCTGCCCTCTGCTGGGATAATGGAGTATTTCAAGCCTTCAGCTGCTTTAAGTGATTATGACTTTGGAGGCAAAACCTTGTTAGTCCACAAAACAGGTACAACACAAGTGGCAGAAGTTCAAATTTCCTCACCAGCAGGCCACAGCCCTGATCCAGAAGGACCCCTTGTAGCTATGAGGGGAGTAATTCAGTATCCCTGGGCCATGCAGTCTGCACCCTCCCTGAAACGCCAACGAGGACACCAAAAGTGATCTAGGCACTCAGGGTTTCTACAGGTGGGCAGGGAGCCAACTCCAACATGCTGGAAATCCAGTGCGTTGGAGCAGACTTGATTAATAAAATCTGCTGGAGCACGGAAATAAATGCATTCTAGCAGACACTGGCATCACATACATCAGTTTCCCCATGCCGAAAAATGGTGGTGGGGCGCTTTGAACTAAAGCTCATTCATTGAGCTTTAGTTCAAAGCGCCCCACTGCCATTTTTCAGCATGGAGACTGCCGATACAGTGACATTCAGGCACTTTTAATTAGTGCAGCTTGCTAATTAAAGCGCTCCCCTCAACTCCCTGCGCCTCCTGGAGCATGTGTAAAAATGCCGTCGATGACAAGGCTAAACCAAGCCAAATCATTGCACCTAGTTCTTCGTGCTTATATACTTCCCAACTGGGGCAGCAAAGAGCCTTACAGTCACTAGTGAGATCAATCATTCAACACCACTCCGACGTAGGTAGACTTTCATTCTTTCCACACAGCTGGTAAACCAAAGGCCTAGAGGCATTAAATGCTTTGCCAAGGGTCCCCACAGAACACAGGCCTCCTTACTGCCAGTCTTGCACCTCAGACCCTACACAAGCAGTTGGAAGTACATGGCTTTGTCACTAACACTACAGCTAGCTTTGACCTAAACATGAAAGCTCCTGTCCCATTCCCAATGGCTGGAGCCAGTAAGTCTCCAAGCAGGCGGTGATTTTAAATCATTTCTGCCAACACCAAGATGTTAAAACTCTCTCAGACTTCATAATGAAGTGCATTAAGTCGCTTGAGTCATGCTGGAATCTTGGCAACAATCATCGAATTGGGGAAGCAGTAGTGGTTTTACTCTTCGAATGAGTA